ATTCGAGAACTATTATAAAAATTTCCGCTGTATGTGTTTTTATATCTCTTACGTTTAATTTAAGATAGTTATCCTTGAGTGGAGATGTAAGAAAAAATATGCAAATTAATAGAATTAATTAATGCTAATTTTAATGCATTTTTGTTTTGTATTTTTAAAAGCAATAATTTGTTTCTTATTTTTGTAATAAATATTTTTTATTATTACGTTGAATTCTGTATAAAACATTTTCGTCATATTTTTGCAGGATTTTAACGAAAATTAATTTCTTCTGGAAAAAAAGTTAACATATTTTTAAGAGACAATTCTTCTAGGTACTTATGTTTATTTTATGAATAAATGTTATCTTAACATACATTAACGTTAAATATTTGTTGACGTTTTCATTACGCATTCATTAGGAGATTTGAGAAATACCTTAAGCTTATAATACATAAACAAGGAATAATCTAACACATTTTAGGAATTAAAACTACTAAAAACCGCAAATTATATTTTGTGATTTATATTCTGCATATTTTAAAGTAGATATTAATTTTTTTTTGCAAAATAGTGTACACTAATACTTCTTCTTTACGTATTACCTAAAGCTTTATTTTTTTCTAATTAAAAAGGTGCGGTAATTATTATTTGATAGTTAGGTGTATGCTACTTTTTAATCGATACATCGAAGACGTAATCAACATCATTAAAGACAGTACAACTGTAGGAATAGATAAAGAGGGGCAAACGATTAATATGCTTAGATTTATAAATGATATAGCAGTATTAACATCTTGCAGAGAGGAGTTAGAGATAGCTTTCAATAAAGTGGATGCGGTATTCACAAAACAGTATTGTATGAAAATAAATAAAAGTAAAAATTAAAAATGCTGGTATGCAAGGGAAGAAAAAGTAAGGAGAGAGCGAATGTAAAGATGGGAGACGAAAGATTAGAAGACGTGGCTGTTTTTAGGTATATAGGAAGTCAAATAAGTCAGGACGGAAGGAGTAGTAAGGATATAAAACAGAGGCTTGAGCAGGATCCAGTCGCCTTCAATAAAAAGAAGTCACTTCTATACTCGCGAATGGTTAATTTAGAAATTGGAAAAAGATAGTTAAAGGTGTATGTTTGGATCGCGGCGCTGTACGGGTGCGAAACATTGACAGTGGGCGCCGCGGAAAAGAAAAGGTTAGAAGCGTTCGAAGTGTGGCGAATGATGAGGATACCATGGAAAGAGAAGGTTAGAAATGAAGAGGTATTAGAAAGAATAGGAAAACAGGCGCCTCTATGGAAGTCAATAAAAGATAGGCGAGATAGGTTGGTAGGACACCCTCCCAGGCATGAAGGTCTAGTCAGAGACATATTAGAGGCAGAAACAGGAGTTAAGAGGAGTAGAGGTAAACCTACATTAGATTACTGTTCCCAAATAGTTACGAAAAAGTTATGAAAAGTCTCTCCACATCCTTGGCTACTTGTGAATAGGTCTTCCTCTGCCACTCATTACTTCTGTTTCTGTTTTTAATGTGTCTCTCACTAGCACTTTATATCTCAGAAAGTGTCTTATCATCCTATCTCCCCGTTTCCTTATCGACAGCTGTATCCAGCCCAAATCTTCTGCGAAATTTATGCTCCGAGGAATAATAATTTTCAACCCTTCTTTCTTTTTCTTTTTTGAAATCGAAATCAGAATTTAAGTTAGACACATATGCATGTACATCCCAGCAATCTTGGCATACTTTGGCATTTTATTGAATTTTCCATTTTCTTTTATTTCAGGAAATTGCATTATATGGAGAATTTTCCATCCGTGAGACCCTTCTCTATTTTGGTCGAATCGCCGGTTTGACAAAGGAGAAAATCGAGGAACGTTTGGAATTTTTAGTAAGCTTCCTCATGCTCCCAGATGCGAACAGGTTGGTCAAAATTTTGAGTGGAGGACAACAGCGACGTGTTTCGTTGGCTTCCGCCCTTCTTCACGAACCTGAATTACTTATTTTAGATGAACCTACCGTAGGAGTCGATCCACTACTCAGGCAAAACATTTGGGATCATTTAGTGAATATTACGAAGGGCGGAAATACCACAGTGATCATTACTACACATTATATCGATGAAACGAGACAAGCCAGCATAGTAAGTGTAATTTTTTATTAAATTTTCTACTAAAATAATTAACACTAAAGTGTGAACTTACAAATCACTCCAGACTTTGCGATCGCGATCGTGTTGTGTGTTATTGATATTTAATTTACTTACAGTAAAAACGAAATAAATTGTTAAATTACCACCATGTGATGTTTCAGATAATACGGATTATTAATTGTTTTTAAAATTTTTGTTAAATTATGTTTTTATAAACTTATTGGAATTTCTTTAATTAATTTTTGTGGTAGCTAAAGAAATACAGGCCCCCAAATGCTTTGCCTGGGCCTGCTTTAAAATGTGGGAGTTGGGGGTTGTAACCAAACATGTAAAATGGTTTTAAAATCTCTTAGAATGTGTAATCAAGGGAAAGATCCAGAAACAGTTACTTGAAGAGGGAGAGAAATAATTTTTTTCTAAAATCTGGAGATGTTTTTTGGAATGGCATCTAAAATAATAGTAAAAAATTGACCCGTCAGCAATAAAACAACTCGCTTGAATATTTTTCACTGTACTGAAGTAGTTTATAAAGAAGTCATAAAGCTCTGAGGGAGTTAATTTCCCCCTATTACTTTCTGGTGTCATATTAAAAGAGTTTTACTCGTAACACCAACACACAATTGTGTAAGATAAAAACTAAACCAAAAAGACGAAAGATGGTTTCGATGATGACCATTGTGTTTTAGTCTTACAATTCTCCATTAGTTAACGTTGTTGCGTAAATAAACAATGCAAAAGGTTAATATCTAAAAATCCCCTTAAATAATACTCATACTCATACATATTTTTAGTGTAACATTTCCATTTATTATAATTTTCACATCCAAGGCTTTCTGTTTTTAATATTCTGAGACTTCTGTTGCTAATAATTTCTAGCATTTCTTTTATGGGTATTGGAATAAATTTAAATACTTATTATAAAGTATTTTATGATGAGAAAAATATTTACTTTATTTGTTCATTGTATTTATTGCCTTTTTTTTTAATTTTGCACAAACATTATATATTGATGATTTTTTTTAATGTAAACAGTGTTTTGTTTTAATAATTTGTTCATTTTACCTTAGAACAAAATCCATAAATCAAACAAACTCGAATAATAAACGTTTGTCGTAGTACTTATAAAAGTAACTTGACCCAAATAAATTTTACTGCGAATGTCAGTGAAAAACTACATCATCTTATATAGTATATGAATTGCAAATTCTTTCTTTTGCTTTATGTGCATTTATTCTCTAACATTGCATATTGTCCACTGATTTTTTTTCTAAGGATAAGCATTATTTATGAAACAGAAGAGACATGTAGGTTCTTCGATGATACTTCTAAAACTCATTGTACTTCTGAGGAGTCACTCATCACTCATTACTACTGCAGTATAAGTCAGTATTAGTCAGAAAAAAATTACCCTATTTTTGTAATATCCTACAATGGTACGAATTGTTTACATAACGATTAAAGGTGAAAAATTCAAAAAAGTATCGTTTTGTTTTTTGGAGGAGTTTAAATTCTCTTACACTTGGATCTATCATAATTTTTAAACGTTGACGACTTTTTAAATTAATTAAATTCCTGACTTATTTGACTTTCTAGATACCTAAAATCGGTCACTTCCTCTAATTCTTCGTCTCCTATCTTTATATTCGCTCTTTCCCAACTTTTTCTTCCCTTGCATACCGGTATTTTTGTTTTACTTTTATTTATTTTCATACAATACTGTTTTATCAATACCGCTTCCACCTCCTCCTTGGTAGATCCTAATACTGCTATAAATTTCGGCCATCACAAACAAAACTGTTAGGTTCTTCGTGTTCGACTTTTGATGTCAATTTCCATTAGTATAAGTTGATCCTTTAACTATTCCTTGAACCATGCGATTTTTATGCCTTGTTTGCCTTGGTATGTCTTCTTACTCTTGGACAGAAAAGAATTTAATTTTTAAAATACGACATGTAGTTACTTATATGTTTATGTGTGCATGTACGTTCATAAAATGAAAAAGAAAAATGATTACTGGTTAGCGGACGAGCGTTACCGAGAAACTGCTAATTTAATAATTTTTTTACCTTGAATTAAACAAGGTAGTTTTGACATACGCATGTATCATTGTATGCTTATGAAATAATTGGCGAACGTGGGTTTGTTGATGTTGCAAATTAATTTTTTGTTTTCAAAATATTAATGTTTGTTTAAAGACCATGCTCAGTCTATTATATGCAATTCAGTACTACGATATTTAAATTTCATATCGAATTTTTACTTTTTGTTTCTAAAAGATCCTTCAAACGTTTATCTCATTGACTATTTTTGGATATACGAAAAATGATCCTGAATTGTAGTTAGGGGTACAAAACCCATTTTGTTTCACTTCCATTGACTAATTGACCACTACAATAAAAAAGCGCCCCGCAACTTTCAAAAAGTTTTTTTTTTATATTTACCGCTGAAAGCTTTTTTTTTATAAATTTGCAGTCTCTTCAAATATTGATACTGTTTAGGATAAACTAAAAGACTTATCTCTGGCTGCTAATAAGTGTACGAAATACGTATCTGTTTTTCAAAAATTAATTATGGTATATTTGGGGCAAGTTTCTGTTAGTTTATTTACATATTACAGTCTCCTTTATTATCCTTACTCTATTTAAGATATTAATTCAGGAGAACCTACTAAATCTAAGAAGGGAATGTAGTTATTTAAATATTTATATACTTTGGTTTATAACCACAAGCTAATTTAATAAAACCACTGAGTGTTTCGTTCTCCCCTTGAAAAATAAAAAATTTGTTCACGTATCTGCTAGTTTCCCCTATGTATAACATTATTTTCCTTTTAACTTAAGTATACATCAATTATAATATTTGCTCATCATTATTGAAAAAAAATATGAATAAAAGCAAATACTTTCAGTAGTGGACGTTTTCGTGTATTTTTCATTCTTATATAATTTACATTAGCTAAATAATAACGTCAATTCTTCTACAAGTGTGACTTTTTGCTGCTGTATGACTAAAAATAAGTGATGCTTATGTACTTAGTTTTAATTATTTTCGTTGACGTCAGTCGAAAAGATAAATGAAGTGTTTAAGAGTTGAAGTAATAAGCAAAAAATAAGCCAAAAGTGTTAGTGAACAAAAAATTAATTAATAATAAAGTCATAAAATGAGAAAAGAATAAGAAATATGTAGTTGTTTTTACGTTTCTGTCAACACGCCAAAATAACTATAACTTCAAAAATGCCTACCGTCGAATTAATTAGAAAAATTAAAATTAAAAAAAAATTACGGTTTTGTTTATAACATACCAAAGTTAAGTAACTGAAAGAAATTGTTCCACTAGAATTACTTTAACTCGATTAATTACACAGATTTTAATTAGAGAAGCCACATATTGTTATTATTTTTCGATGTGGTGAAATTATACCTACTAACATTGTCCTCGATATGACCGAACGGCAATATATAACCCAAATTAACGTCATTCATGTTTGTCTGATAAATAAACCCATGGCATTTACCAGTTGGTAACATTTAGAAAGATTACAAGGTCTTTGATTAAAAATTTTTGTCTTTGATTAATAACGTCTCGACATAAACAAAGAACCTCGCGGATTACTGAATAAATAAGTAATTATGAGGAATTAAATACTATGAACTCTAAACTCTGCGTCTTCCTAAACATTTGAATAAGCTTGAAGCGAGAAACTCCATATTGGATTAGCTAATTGGTTTTAGTTTTGATTGTTAATTATATTTTATGATTCTATCGAATGGAACAATTAAAATAGAGAACGTTGTTACTAACGGATTAACTCAAAAACAATCAAAATGTCTTTAAATCGATACATAAGATATAATTATTTTCAATATATATAGCAGATTTAGAAAGAAATAGTTTTTTTTATTACAACTACTAATACCGTGTTTGTAAGTTAACTATTACTTCAAATAATTATTTCATGTAAATGTAAAACTTAGAAATGACTATTTTTCTTTCAAAAGTAATTTGGTGTAACCATTGTTATTTAATTAAAAACATAAAATCATTAATTTGTACGCTTGGTGGGTTAAATATCAGACGAAATAATGCATCGTGTTGCGGGGTTACTCGCTTGACGCACCGTTGATCTCTCCTAGGTTAATACAGAAAATATGTCGATTTTGAGTTTATTATGAAGTGAATGTTGTTTACCATGATAAAAATTCTTATTCTAGTCTATTGTTTATTAAAAATTAACACTTTCATTAGTAAAATTAGATTTCTATTGCATTAAAAACCTACTATAATACTACTCCCACAAAACTTGTAGTTTCCAAAATTACAGTATCATCATAATATGGGACTTCTGCTTAATATATCGAGCCAAACATCCCAAAGTAAGACGGGTACTACAAGCACCTTGTAAAAACGGGATAAAGAGGAATGCTATGTAATTCTAAGATAAAATTACAAACGTTTTACGAGATAAACTCAAAACGATTATAGAACGTTTAAATTCAGTGCCAAACATTCTCACAAACCTTTTAGACAAAAATGTATTACAAAGGAAATTGCTGAAAAATTGATTCTGCTGTAATCACCTGATTACATTCCTAAGTTCTAAGCGCTTCTTATGCAGTTAGAGATATTATTTGATATATGCTCTTTTATGCAAGGCATCATGAAATTAGCTGCTAAGTATAAAATAGCTGTTATGGAAGCTTTTCATCTTTGTTAGCTAATATTTATAACGAGTTTTTCGGTGGCTTCGAACGAAAGAAAACCTTAAGTTTACTTATAATAGCTAAAAGTTCGAGCAGGTCCATCATTAAAGATGCTTTTGACGTAAACAATATGATGTATTTGTGGACGACGTTTAAACACAGACGAATTCGATATTAATCTAAGTTTTTCGGGTTCAATTCCCGGCCAGGCAAAAATAGCAGCAAAAAACAGTTTTACCTCATTAACTTGAGGTAAGGTAAATAACATTAATGTTTGATAATTATTTTTTATTTATAAATCCGTTTTTTTTTTGCGTGTGCTTGTAAAATTTTTATTTGAAAAATAAAGTATAGCAATTGGCTATTGGGTTGCGTCCCCCCGAACAGAATACTTCGCTATTAAGGAAGTTATCCTTTTTGAGAAAATTTAGTTCCAACTAGATGTAGTTTACCTGTTTGACTCTAAACTATTTACTTACATATTGCATGGGGTTAAACACTTGGTTCCTTTTCTCAATAATGTGGAATGTTTGTCCGGATATATTTTCGTAACTTTCGCAGGAGTAAATGCTCCTTAAATATAAAATTCCCATGAAATCGAAACACTTCACTTCGTAATGTTTTTCGGCTCCGTATTGTAATTAAGTGTAATTTGTAAATGTTACATCAAGGTTAACAGCATCTACGAATCTACTATGTGGACATGCAATAAAAGAACCTTAAGCTGGTGGTTTTTTCCATCGATCATATGTTTCTTGTATATTTTATCGAAAACATTGTTGTTTTAAACAAAGTCTTTCATTTTCCACATAATTACTAACGATTTCAACGATTAAAATTTCCATTCAATAATTAAAATTTCCATTAAGCTTATTTTAATTATTATTTGTTGAAACGTTGGAAGCCCTAATAATAAAACATCGCTACTATATGTAGGTAATTAGAAATGTTGTAGATGTTTCTATTTTAATAAGGTTTTTGTTTACTTAATTTTAGTTTGTTTATAAGGAACGCATTCCGCAACATGTGTTTTGGTGTAAAATTAAAGTATTGCGTTAAAAAAATGATTATTGTTATATTAGGAATGTGCTTCTTTTATATACCGAAAATATAAGCAGCATTTTATCAGTTTATTATGTAAAAAACTTAATTCAAACACTAAAAGCAGTTATAAAAACAAATAACATTTAAATATGTTCATTTAAAAGGATCCATTATCACTAAATTAATAAGAGAAGCAATTAAAATAATTTTGGATACAATTGTATAGTACTATGTTAATACAATTTCAGTTGCATATATATATAACTTATCAAATTAAACCAAGTACTTATTGGTAATAAAAAAAGGTACACTGGCATAATCTGTTGAATTAAGAACTTCTTAAAAGATTATTTGTATTTTTCTCACACATCAGATGTAGAGTTTACCTGTATATAATAGCAAGTAATTCTAATTTGCTTGTGCTGCATTGAATGTTTAAGAAATAATGACATCGCAGCGGCGTCCAAGTTCAAGTGTACGTTATATCTTATTATTCTGCCTTCAACGTTCTGTAATAATATCCACAACATGGGCAGGAGTTTTGCCCGAAGAATATAAATTACCTTTTGTAAATTTAAATCTTACGGAAGATAATAGAGGACCACTTAAATTTTGATAATGGTCAAGGTTATTAGACTGTCTGGTCATTGTAATCCGCTTATTTGGCATAAGAAATGAACAATTGTGTAAGGAACATTTGACTATGATATGACTATATTTTTCGTTATTATGTCATTACGATTATTATAGCAATATTACTTAAATGATAAATGAATTGTAGTACGTTTTGGATTATTATTTTTCTGCAGTGTTATAGTTTACATTTCGTTCATTACAAATCTTTAATAGTCATAAGATATATTTTTATAAAAATCATTAAAAGTTAAGAAATATTATCAGATGGATTTTGTACTGCCCTTGAATGAAATGTTTCAAGTTCGCTGAACTTTCGTGGTATGTTCTCTCAGGTCGCCTCCAATTCCAGTCAAACTTCTTTGCTAATTTGTTGTATTATATAGGACTTTGTAATTATTAGGTTTATTCTTCTCAACCAAGAAAAACATTAACAGTATATGTATACAAATTTATATGAAAATCGTATTTTAAAATATTTTGCACATCGAACGACTTTGATCAGGTCATAGTTTTAATTTTTCCTGTGCCAATTCAATATAATGCGTTCATGAGATCTAAAAGATTTAAGAGTTTCATATATTAAAATGTAAAAAGGGACCCTTTTGAGATCACTTATGTCTCTGTACATCAGGGATGATTCTCTTAAAAAATATGCAACACAAAATCTTGAAGTTTGATATAGCAATAAACCATATTGATTCGTATGCTTAGGAATTAGAGTTTTTGTGGGTTGGGAGGGATGGGCACTGTTTTATGATTTATATAAAACGCTCTGCGAGTCGAACTCACATTTGCCTTTTTTTTATTTTAATTTTTCGAAGTTAAAATGCTCTCATTACATATTGACATAATCATTATATCTTTATCCCTTCTCAATTGCCGTAGCCTTTTTGGGTTTTGCATCTATTGTTCTGTGAAGGTTTATGCTTTTCTTTTCAGATTGGTTTAATGAGAGGTGGTTACTTCTTAGCTGAAGAATCACCGGAGAGACTTCTGGCTCAGTTTAATGCAGAAACGTTAGAAGATGTGTTTCTTAAACTCAGTGTTATTCAGAATATGGGAAGGCGTAGGCGATCGAGTATATTACAGGAAGTTACTGAAACCATCCAGGTCCCAAGTGGGGTAGTTAATGAAGCAGCAGTTTTGGATGAAGAGGGCGAAATATCTGGAGAATTCGGGGACAACGTCTCCATGAGTAGCCGTGGTGGAAGGGTTTCTATAACACCAGTTGTTAAAGATACGGTAATTGTTAATCTCAAAAGGGATTCTGATCCTTGATATGATAAAAAGTGGAAGGGATTTCATCATCTGTTAATTGCAGGAACCTTCCATGCCTGAATTGCCCCCGGAAGAGCAATCCCCTACAGAATGTATGGATTATTTTAAAGTTATAAAAATGCACCATATGCAGGCTCTTATTTGGAAAAACTTTTTATGGATGTGGAGGAACATCCCTGTGATGTTGTTTATAATAGGATTACCAGTAGCTCAAATAATACTTTTTTGTTTATCAATTGGACATGATCCATACGACTTGCCAGTATCTATAGTAAATTTTGAATTAGATCAGAAAGAAGAATGTCATAAAGGTATTAGTTGCAACAGTACAAGGCTTAGCTGTAGTTATTTAAACCACCCGTTTAAATTCAGTGCCAAACATTCTCACAAACCTTTTAGACAAAAATGTATTACAAAGGAAATTGCTGAAAAATTGATTCTGCTGTAATCACCTGATTACATTCCTAAGTTCTAAGCGCTTCTTATGCAGTTAGAGATATTATTTGATATATGCTCTTTTATGCAAGGCATCATGAAATTAGCTGCTAAGTATAAAATAGCTGTTATGGAAGCTTTTCATCTTTGTTAGCTAATATTTATAACGAGTTTTTCGGTGGCTTCGAACGAAAGAAAACCTTAAGTTTACTTATAATAGCTAAAAGTTCGAGCAGGTCCATCATTAAAGATGCTTTTGACGTAAACAATATGATGTATTTGTGGACGACGTTTAAACACAGACGAATTCGATATTAATCTAAGTTTTTCGGGTTCAATTCCCGGCCAGGCAAAAATAGCAGCAAAAAACAGTTTTACCTCATTAACTTGAGGTAAGGTAAATAACATTAATGTTTGATAATTATTTTTTATTTATAAATCCGTTTTTTTTTTGCGTGTGCTTGTAAAATTTTTATTTGAAAAATAAAGTATAGCAATTGGCTATTGGGTTGCGTCCCCCCGAACAGAATACTTCGCTATTAAGGAAGTTATCCTTTTTGAGAAAATTTAGTTCCAACTAGATGTAGTTTACCTGTTTGACTCTAAACTATTTACTTACATATTGCATNGTTCAATAAAAAGCAATACATTTGAAGAAGGTATATTAATGCATTTAATTATTTTGAAAATGTTCAAGTAGGTATGTTTTATATGGGGAGACCGTTCATAAAATACATTGTCAAACAGAAAAAGTGAAGGAATATTACTCAAAACGACGAGCTATGACAAGGAAGCGTGACATTTGCAGTTCATTAATAATATTTAAATTATATTCTTAATTTATTAGTTTTTATTTAATTTTTTGGTTTTATTAATATTTGTATGCTATTATTAGATTATTATATATGGGGGGAGGGTCAAGATTTTAGATTTGATAATGTATTTTATAAACGGCCCACCTACCTACATAAAAATTATGTATAATTTTATTATTATGTTACCTATCGTTGTTTCGTTCAAGTGATAATTTTATAAAAAATTGCAGAATTATTTTGATACAATTAACGAAGCTAAAGATTCTGTAATAAGAGGTAAATCATGGGCCGTAATTATTGTCCCACATAATTACTCTGATGCATTAAGGGAACGCTTGGAAGCATGGCGATATGCTAGCGAATGGGATATCGAATATTCGAGTGTCGAAGTTTATCAGGACAAATCTAGTAAGTACTATGATAATACACTATTTTTTTAATCACAAAGACTAAAGAAACAACGCAAGTCTTATCGGAGAAATTGTGTACAAAATTTTGTAATTACATTTTAATTTATCTATTATACTTTTACGTATTGCTCATAAAAAATAATTGAATTTTAATAGAGTACGGTATAATCTTATGATTATAATTAATAATTTTTTGTATTCTAGACGAAAACATAGGTAACTTCTTGAAGGTGTACCTCTACGAAACTTTCCAGAAATTTATTCAGGATTATTTAAAGTCCTGCGATATAGACGAAAGGGTAGTCAGCTTGCCCATAAGGGTAAGTGTTTTGTTCACTATAATTATTTTAATTAAATGGTTTTCAATAAAAAATTTAATTTCCAGATAGAAGAACCAGTGTATGGCTATAGACATCCCAATTTTACAGATTTTGCAGCACCTGGTATTATTCTGACGTACGTATGAGATTTATTTTTGTTTTGATTATTATTAAACGAAATTATAAATTTCTAGGATCATTTTCTTCTTGGCTGTAGCTCTAACGTCAGGGGCCATGTTGATTGAACGCAACGAAGGCAGTTTAGAAAGGTCACTGGTCATTGGCATAAATGGTATCGAAATTTTGTTTGCTCACGTTATAACACAATTTGTTGTGATGGTTGGCCAATCTATTATGGTTTTAATTTTCTCTTTTGCCGTCTTCAATTTAACTTTGAATGGTAACATATTTTTAGTGGCACTTCTTACTATGATGACGGGACTTTGCGGAATGTGCTTCGGTAAGATTTTTAATTACAGATTTACATAGTATGCTTTCGCTGAAAATAAATTTTACTCTACTTAATTTATCAAAAAAAGAGAGTAGGATCTCATATGACCATGATCGTCTCAGAGGATTAAACAATTACATTAAAAAAAGTCTTAAACTGTTTAGTTATTTACGGTATTGAAAATTATTGATAAATTATCAGCTACAACATAAAATTATTCCAATAAAAACTGTGAAATTGTTTGACATTTACAAGGCTGATGGTCTCTCATTTTTAATTAGTTTTAACATTGCTACACTAATTATTTTATATGGATTGTGAGAAATTAATTTGACTTGTTTCTTGTTGTGATTGTGCATTTCTATCCATTACTACTTTCTTATTACGTAACTACAGTTTCTGTACAGTCATGCCTGGGGATTCCCAAAAATTAAATGCAGTAACTTTAAAAAAAAAGCAGGCTGTGTGGTGTCGTGGAACACCTAATAGGAATGAAGTTTCTAACTAATATTCGACAAATATTAATTACAATAAAAAAACAACTCGTTTTGGACATACTTATCAGATGGCAAAATAATCGAATCTACCTCGTCAGCTCTTTATCTCTTTCTCATTGCAAGCTGTAAGTAAGAGGGAGAGAGATGCCCACTAACACATTCGATTTTTTGCCAGCTTTAGCAGACCTAGGGAAGTTTCCTCAAAAGGGAATCTGGAGCCAGCTTAAGGAAAATAGCATTATAATTTAATTCTTGTGCCAAATTAATTCTTGTTGTTTAAAGATAAACTAAACAGAAACTCACTCTAATTAGTATGAGTTTTCCTTTTAGTTTATTTAACAAGCGAAGGTTTGGTTTTCTCATAGTAAAATGTGTCCTAGCATAATTAATATGCTGTTCACATTATGAGTGGTTTCCATTATGCGATTCACATTAGCGAATGTCTACTGTATTTACCAATACTTACTTACTTTTTTAACAAGCAGTCACTTGCAAATCTTATTGAGAACATGAAAATGTAGTAAGTAATTATGAAGTACATTTTTACTTTTTAATAATAAAAGAAAAAGATAAACATAAATAAACTTTTAGGACTTGTACTTGAAGGCTCTCTATTCCCAATTAAAGGGTATTGTAATAAAAAAAAATATGTTTGATTTTTAGGTTTTGTGGTTTCTTGTGTTTGCGATACTGAACGTACGGCTACCTATATGGCCATGGGTAGTTTCTTACCAATGGTGATGTTATGTGGAATAATTTGGCCTATTGAAGGGATGCATCAAATTTTGAGAATTATATCTCTTTTCTTGCCATTAACGAAATCTACAGAAAGTTTAAGGAGTATTTTGATGCGTGGATGGGGTTTTGCAGTGTCTTCAGTATATATCGGATTTATTTCCACCGTTATATGGATTGTCGTGTTTTTAACATTTAGTGTACTATTACTTAAGTTTAAAAAGGGATAGATGAAATCCTATATTATTAGAACTTTTATATCTGTGTAAAGTAATTTAGGAAATTGTGATCATTAAAAAATTATTGTTTTTTTACATTTTTTTTAAGGTGTAGTGAACTAAATGGAAACAGTTTGGGTTATTTGAATAATTTTATTATTTATTTATATAAGAACAAAAAATAAAACTNTACTTGAATATCCAGTTCATGTAAGTAATTTTTCTAATACGTACATGATATTTGACGGTATTTTTAATGCTTCTTTTATGAAAATTATTAATTACGAATATTTTACTATGGATTGCTTAACATTTTTTCTATTTTAGCAACACCGTATATTACTGAGTTGAAAGAATCTTTTACATTTTAATAAATAATATTTATAATACACTATTTAAAATTTAGAGCACTCTGTAGATATAAATCATTGATAATCAGATAACATACCATAACATTTATCTATGATATAAATGTTGAGTTGTTGACAACTGTTTGACGTCTGTTTGTCAAGTTGTATTAGAATACGACGAACTGTAAGAGGTTGAATTTAATTTGTTTAAATTATTTTGTAATTAAATGTGTCTGCAGTAAATGAAACTTTAATAGATGTTAGAAGTGGTATTGGGGAGTGATATTTAACAACGTAAAGAGCTTTCTCCTTTTATGATTTTAGATATGTGAGGATAAGTGATAAACGAATCAAAGAGAGAAAGTCTAAAGTGCAGTAACATATAAACATTGTAACAGTGCAGCAGTAGTTTTTATGTCGTGTACTTATTTGTTCGTTATCGGAGATTAATATAAAAATTTATAATCATGGCCAATAGATTGAAAAATTTTCCCCCTGGACCATTAGACCAATATAGAAAAGCAGCATCTTTTGATTGGAAAAAAATGAAAGTTTTTCTTGATTCAGAGGATCTAATAGAATTTGAGGTAGTATAACTTTAATTTTATTATATGTAAGTATTCTTACGTTTACATTATTGTTTAATAGCAAGATGCCTTTGATGAAATTAAGAAAAATAGATTGTATAATGAACTATATACAGAATCATTACCATTTGATGAAATCAGAAGGCGAACTGTTCAAAGAATGTATTCATTAAAAGACAATTACAACCTGTCATATGAAGCTAGTTATTCTGATTTGAAAAGGCCTTATATTCAATTGTTTGCTCATTTTACGCTTGACCCATCAGCTGCTATAAAATATTCCATAGGATTTGGTATGTTTTTGAGTACAATTAAAACATTAGGCACTGAGAGACACACGCACTATTTAGCAGATATAGTGGATGGAAAGGTCAGTTATTTTCAAAAATTAGTTTTGTTGTTTTATTTAATTAAATTATTGTAGATTTTAGGTTGTTTCTGTTTAACAGAAATTGGGCATGGAACAAACACAAAAATTAAACCAAGTACTTATTGGTAATAAAAAAAGGTACACTGGCATAATCTGTTGAATTAAGAACTTCTTAAAAGATTATTTGTATTTTTCTCACACATCAGATGTAGAGTTTACCTGTATATAATAGCAAGTAATTCTAATTTGCTTGTGCTGCATTGAATGTTTAAGAAATAATGACATCGCAGCGGCGTCCAAGTTCAAGTGTACGTTATATCTTATTATTCTGCCTTCAACGTTCTGTAATAATATCCACAACATGGGCAGGAGTTTTGCCCGAAGAATATAAATTACCTTTTGTAAATTTAAATCTTACGGAAGATAATAGAGGACCACTTAAATTTTGATAATGGTCAAGGTTATTAGACTGTCTGGTCATTGTAATCCGCTTATTTGGCATAAGAAATGAACAATTGTGTAAGGAACATTTGACTATGATATGACTATATTTTTCGTTATTATGTCATTACGATTATTATAGCAATATTACTTAAATGATAAATGAATTGTAGTACGTTTTGGATTATTATTTTTCTGCAGTGTTATAGTTTACATTTCGTTCATTACAAATCTTTAATAGTCATAAGATATATTTTTATAAAAATCATTAAAAGTTAAGAAATATTATCAGATGGATTTTGTACTGCCCTTGAATGAAATGTTTCAAGTTCGCTGAACTTTCGTGGTATGTTCTCTCAGGTCGCCTCCAATTCCAGTCAAACTTCTTTGCTAATTTGTTGTATTATATAGGACTTTGTAATTATTAGGTTTATTCTTCTCAACCAAGAAAAACATTAACAGTATATGTATACAAATTTATATGAAAATCGTATTTTAAAATATTTTGCACATCGAACGACTTTGATCAGGTCATAGTTTTAATTTTTCCTGTGCCAATTCAATATAATGCGTTCATGAGATCTAAAAGATTTAAGAGTTTCATATATTAAAATGTAAAAAGGGACCCTTTTGAGATCACTTATGTCTCTGTACATCAGGGATGATTCTCTTAAAAAATATGCAACACAAAATCTTGAAGTTTGATATAGCAATAAACCATATTGATTCGTATGCTTAGGAATTAGAGTTTTTGTGGGTTGGGAGGGATGGGCACTGTTTTATGATTTATATAAAACGCTCTGCGAGTCGAACTCACATTTGCCTTTTTTTTATTTTAATTTTTCGAAGTTAAAATGCTCTCATTACATATTGACATAATCATTNAGAATATGGGTATTATAATTTCACTGATAATAAACTCTTCAATTTATGTTTATTAATTTTTCACAAACACTGATAATTCACAAACAAAAATGTATCATTATATAGCCACCTGTAGGTTCCTTCTGAGAAAAGTGACTGTAAAAATTAGAAATTACTTTTTTAAGTTAGGGGATTTGAATTCCATACAGGGAATTTAATAATTTAATTAGACTCGATACATTTTTTTTTGTTCGAATTTTTTTGGAACATACGTCATCTAATTAAGTGTAATTTGACTAGGGAGATTTTGATTTTTTTTTTCTTTTTTTTAGGAAAAACTGCTACTCATGGTGTTGTCTATGCCCAGTTAATAACACCTGATGGAGTAAATCACGGTCTGCACACTTTTGTTGTTAAATTACGAGATCCAGAAACGTTAATACCGTATGCAGGTCTCACTATAGGTGATATGGGAGAGAAAATTGGCTTGAATGGGATCGATAATGGGTAAAAAGTTATTTAACTGTAACAGTTCATGGAAAATTTATCGTACAATTTTTTTAGATTCTTGATGTTTCACAACTATAGGATTCCACGTGCTGACCTGCTGAACAGAACTGGAGACGTTACCGAAGATGGACAATACATTACACCTTTCAAAGATCCTAATAAAAGACATGGAACATCTTTAGGCGCTCTTTCAGCAGGCAGAGTTACTATTATTAGTGTCGGTAATATTTATTTAATTAAAGCTTTAACGGTTGCTATCAGGTATGCAGCAGTGCGAAGACAATTTGGACCAAATGATGACGAAGAAATTCCAATACTTGAATATCCAGTTCATGTAAGTAATTTTTCTAATACGTACATGATATTTGACGGTATTTTTAATGCTTCTTTTATGAAAATTATTAATTACGAATATTTTACTATGGATTGCTTAACATTTTTTCTATTTTAGCAACACCGTATATTACCATATCTTGCTGTTGTGTATGCACATAGAATATTTGCAAACTACCTTTATGAAATATATAATCAGTTCATTATCGATCAATTTTTAAATAATAAATCTGCCTTAAGCGCAGATCTTGGTGTAGAACTGCATGGAGTGTCTTCTGCTGGTAAATGTGTAACAGGCTGGTTAGCTAGAGATGGTATACAGGAATGTAGAGAAGCCTGTGGAGGACATGGTTATTTGAAGGGTAAGGTTTTATCCAAAGATTTTTTGTTTTTCATAATGATATTTGTGTATTACTAAAATCGATTTTTATACCTGTTATGTATTGTTTGTGTATGATTTAATATGTAATAAATATCTATAATTAACAAAGTAAACATATAAAATATTAATACACATTCATTAAAAGGTAATTCTGGTGAAGAGAATAATTTTTTCCGAGAAAATTTTGAAAAGCGAATTCCAGATTGTAAATGAATTAATTTTGCTTTCTATTTATTTCGCCACTCGATAAAATTTTTATTTCTTTGATTGTCAAATTGTGCACCACTTTCATTTCATTTTAGTTGCTGGTCTTGGGGATCTGAAAAACGATCATGACGCTAATAACACTTACGAAGGTGAAAATCACGTTCTTATCCAGCAAACAACTAATTGGCTTCTAAAATTTTGGCCCTCTGTGGTGAAAGGTGAACGTGTTTCGTCTCCCATGGGAAGTATTAACTTTTTATCGAATGCCAAGCAAATTCTAAATCAAAAGTCCACTGTTAACACTTTACCACAACTACTGCAGCCAACAGGTACACTTCATTGTCTTAGATTTTGCAATTGAAGATTACAGATAATTGTATATGATTCTATGTCGTTTTATTATTTTTGTAGTAATTTTGGATATATACAAGTGGCTTACTTGCTACCATCTAAAATCAACATTCAGTAGGATTGAACATCTTGAAAAAAATGGTAAAAGTCCTTTTTGGAGTAGAAACGACAGCCAGGTATTTTATGGAAAACAGCTCAGTATCACTTACATGCAGGTAAAAAATCATATCAATACTATTGTTGTATATATGTATCAGTACTATTACTATTAGATTTATATATTTTTAGCATTTCATTTTGCAAGCGGTTTATAACAAAATAAATTCAGCTCAAGATCGACAAATTAGGGAGGTTCTAACAAAATTGTTCCTTCTGTATGGAGTTTGGAATCTCGACAAACACTTGCCGTACTTGTACAGAGGAGAATATGTTATAAGTGGTAAATTTTCTGAACTTGTTCAAGAAGCAATCGTCAAATTGTGCGCAGATTTGAAGAACGATGCAGTATCGTTGATAGATACGTTTGCGCCTCCAGATTTTGTTCTTAATTCGGTCCTTGGTCATTCCGATGGTCATGTATGTGTCCATTTTTGAAATAAAAAAAGTGTAAACCTAAACAAAGAAGGGTATTCTGCAAGTATTTATTTTTAGGTTTATCGGCACTTGCAATCAGCTTTCTTTCATTCTCCAGAAAGTTTAAGCAGACCAAAGTGGTGGAAAGAGGCAGTTAATTGGAAAGATAATATTAAATCTAAGTTATAAAAAAAATACGCGTAAGTTATAATTTTACAGCTTTAATCAGAGAGATGTATAATGGACAATATGGGATTATAGTATTGATAGATTTTCATTATTTTATTACTTTTTCCATGCAAATCGTAAAAAAATTTTATAGTATCTTATTTGTAGTTTTTCTACATTTAGTGAAATTTTTAATAATAAGAATTAGGCAAATATTGAAAAAA